TTTTTTTTTGGGTCCGCATTCGGCCCAACGGGCCAAACGCATCCCCAAGGGGTCCCATACGTTTGGGCGTTCGGGTTCGGGCGTTCGGCCCGTCCCAAACACCGGTTACCCTGGCGGTGTGAAAAATGTGCTGGCCCACTCAATAATTTCATTCTTGTTTTATTTTTTCAAATTTTAATTATTATTATTTATTTTCCATATTCGATTTCTTTTTCAAATTGGTAAAGAATTTGGATGTAAGGTTGAGGCAAATGTTGTTCAGTTTATTCTTCTGGGGTCTGGTCCCACCAACCGCGTTGAGTTTTCTCAACGCTGTGCTTTCTATCACCTGTGGCATGGTGAGACGGAGCTGTGCCGTTGATGTATTGCGAATCTAATGTACCAAAATGCAGGAGAATGACCTATTAGATTTAGTCATTTTGTAAAATTTTCCTTTGAAGTGAAATCTGTTTTGTAGTATGCTTTAGCCCTTTTGGTTTGGGCGGGAAGCCATTTTCCATTGAGAAAACTACCCTACCGAGGGTAAGGTACATTTCTCAACTGCAGTGCCTTTCCTTTTTTTTGGTTTTTTATACCTCATTGCATCCTGGAATGGAGGAACTCTAACAGCTGTGTTTGGTTGTCTGGCATCAAACTGGTTTCCTTCTTTGGGCAATGAATGCATTTGGCCATCCACGTCTTCCCTGTCCATTTTACAAATGGTGACCTCTTGTCCCCTCACCACGGAGAGTATCCCTTTTTCACGGAGACATTCACTCGGACTGTTTCAGACATGTTTCATTTCTCCTAGTTACGTTATAAAAAATAAGGAGAAAAGTTGTTTCTAGCATTTTTTTTCAGGTTTTTTTATTTCTTGTTTCGAATTTATTAATACTGAAATGGCCTCACACCGTCCAATTTTCTAAACTCAACAACCGTAGGTGGGACCAGACCCCTGGGGCGAGGTCCCACTAGCAACAGGATAGGATAAAAACGAGTTTGTGGGGCAGTTGATTGACCCGAATCCTGCCGTGCAGTACTCGTGATCCCACGGTCAGTAGTTTACATGTACTACCCAAAAAAGTAAGGAGGTCTTTGTTCCCCTTCTCCTCTCCTTAACACTGGGCATGTCCGTGCAAAGAAATCTTCCCGCCAGAATCTTTTCAATCGGTTGGGGGTGTGGCCAACACCAAAAGAGGGTGGGGTTGGCCATAAGCCCACTGGATAAATGATTTTCAGTATTTTACTTGCTGTAGGGCAATTATCTCATTGGGTGGAGCCCTCCTTCAATCCCGGAGTATATGGAGGGTGTCGGGATCACTGCTGACAGAAGTCGAGTTTATTCCAGAAAATGTGGCAGTTACTTTGTTCCCTGTTGTTGCAACCACCACCATCAGGTCATCTGTGATCTGATGGTTGGGAAGCCGAGATTTTCGGTGGCAAGTCTCTGTTTCTTTTTTTTTTTAGAAAACTACGGTGCAGTCAGGGTTTGAGTTTGTAATTGCCCTTGAGGCAAAAGGGTCGGTAATGCTGAATGTATATGACCTACGTTTCTGTGTTACCGCGCGTTCATTGAACGCGCGTTTCGCGTTCAGGGTATGAACGCGGTGTACGCGTGTTCACTGGACGCGCGTGAACACGCGTTTGCGCAGGGGGTTGTGCGGGGTGGGGGGGGCCTTTGGGCAGTGTGGGGAGCGGCGACGGTGCTTGGGGGGGGTTGTGGGAAGTGTGGGAAGCGGCGGCGGTGCTTGGGGGGGGCTGTGGGCCAATGCCCCAGGCGAAACAGGCAAAAACAAAATAAAAAATTGTGTGCGAAGTTGTGTCTGTATGTGTGTGAATGTGTGTGTGTGTGTGTGAAGGGTCCTTTTTTTGGGGGGTGGGGGGCGGGTGGGGGAATCCCCCTAATACGGCTCAGACAGCCTGGCTATCTGAAGGGTCCTCGTAGCAATGTAGCGCAGACCCCCTCACCAAAATCAAGGCAGGCAGTGAATATGAAGTACAGCACGAGCTGGCTGAATATATACTCAAGATTCGAATTCAGGTCTGTGTTTCAGTAGTTATGGGTTGCTCACGTAGCTAGACCATGTTGGTCTCTGCACATTCTCAGGGTTTGGCTGCACTACTCGCCAAATGTGCAAAACTAGAATGAATCTTCTACAGAACATGGAATAATACACCGCCATATGTTTTGTTTTTTGTGCATGTGGTGAGTAGAGGCCCTTAGGGCCACTGCACGTATTCCTAAGAAAAGAAAAACGAGAAAAACTCTCGTTTTTTTTTTTTCTCGTTTTTCTTTTTTCTCATTTTTCTTTTTTCTCGTTTTTCTTTTCTTAGGAATACGTGCAGTGGCCCTAAGGGCCTGTACTCACCACATGCACAAAAGACAAAACATATGGCGGCGTATTATCCCATTTTCTGCAGAAGATTCATTCTAGTTTTGCACATTTGGTGAGTAGTGCAGCCAAGCCTTCAGAATCACGTGCAGAGACCAACACGACGTGAGCAACCCATAATAGCTGAAACATAGACCTGAATTCGAATCTTGACTATATATTCGGCCAGCTCGTGCTCTATTCATATTCACTGCCTGCCTTGATTTTGGTGGGGGGGCCTGCTTTGTCCCTGTCTCTTATACACATCTAGATGTGTATAAGAGACAGACACCATACTGTGCAGAGATCAACACGGACGTGAGCAACCCATAACTGCTGAAACACAGACCTGAATTCCAATCTTGAGTATATATTCGGCCAGCTCGTGCTCTACTTGATATTCATTGCCTGCCTTGATTTTGGTGGGGGGGTCTGCGCTGCATGGCTGCGAGGACCCTTCAGATAGCCTGCATGGGCCGTCAGAGCCGTGTTAGGGGGATTCCCCCCCCCCCCCCCAAAAAAACAACCCTTCACATATGGCGGGGGGTGACGCAGTAGGGGGGGGTGGGCCTCTTGGGGGGCTTTTTTTTGCACTTTTGGGGTTTGTTGAACGAGGCCCACCACCCCGTAGTCCGCGACGTGCGCGCACGCCCCCCGGGGTTGAGTTCAATTTTTTCGTGCCATGTGGCGCTCAGCGCGTTTGAACGCGATTGAACGCGACCCCGAGGGGTATGAACGCGCGCGTTTGAACGTGAACGCGCGTTCAGCGCGTGTAACCGGTTACACAACTACGTTTCAGGTCCAGTGGGGTCGCGTGGGGATGTGTTGTATTTGAGGGAATGCCTGCAATGCAATTACAAACTGTTTTCGTGACTGCACCAAAGTTACCCTTTTTTTTTTTTTTTGCCTTTCTCCTGTTTTCTCATTGGGCTTAGCGGTGGACTCGGGGTGTAAAAGTCGAAGGGACAGAGCGGTGGTGGAGATCAGACGCCGGCAGCGTCAGAGCCTTGTGGCTATGGTTGTCGGTGGTCTTGATGGATTGGGGCTGCGCCTTGTTGGGCCAGCTGTGTGAAGACGTTTTTGGTACAAGGAGGACTCACTTTTATCTCCATTCCTGCTTTGTCCACGCATGGCGGATGTGAAGCCCCGAGTGGCGGGACCT